ATTGGACATTAGACATTGTGTAATATATAAATCATGCAACAAATAGCCAATCAAAAATCTTCACATTATCACACCCAAGAAAGTTGTGATCACGTGATTAAGGTAATATTTATAAAAAGTTGTTAAGTTTAAAGTTAGCATTTATATTAGGCTAGAAATTAGTGAAATATGTATACTAAAAAAATCGCCCAAGAAAAGCTTTTTATTAGGTCATATTTTTACCAAAGATTTTTTTATATTTTTTAAAATTATTGGACATATTGGACTGGACATATGTCCAATGTCCAGTCCAGTCCAATAGTATAAAAATGGTTGGACATATGTCCAGTGCCAACACTGTCTGCACCTATCTGATCAAATTCGTTAAATTTTTTTTATTTTAATTCTATGAGCGTATAGAATTAAAATAAAAAAATTTTGATCGAATTTGATCAGGTAAAGCTGAGTAATTTTTATTCAAATTTAGGCACGTATAAAAAAAAAAAGCTGTAGCCAAATTTTTTACAAGATTTAATTAATGTTTTTCAACAATCAACTATTCAAATTCGAGCAAAATTTTTTTATTTTAATTCTATCATCAGAATTTAATGAAATTTTTTTATCTTAATTCTATGGGCACATAGAATTAAAATAAAAAATTTTGACTGAATTTGAATAGTAGGTTGTTAAGAAATATTCATGAAACATTAAAAAAATTTTGACCTCAGCTTCTTTTTTTAAGACATCTAAACTTTGAACAAAGATTACTCGACATTTGCCTGATCAAATTCGATCAACTTTTTTTATTTTAATTTGAGATGCTCATAGAATTAAAATAAAGAAAATTTGAACAAATTAGACCTGGTAAGTGATGAGTAATCTTTGTTCAAAGTTTAGATGTCTTAAAAAAAGAAGCTGCGGCCAAAATTTTTTAAATAGTTGGGTGTCGCTTCCATTAAAAGAACTTCTAATCATGTATACGTACACACAAAGCTTTGATATGTACGTACGTATGTATGTACGTATATATGTATGTATGTCAAAAACAAGATCATCTTTTGACAGCATGCTTGACATGTGAAAAATAAACAACTGGTGACAGTTAAAGTCACGCGGACCAATCAGGTATAAGATTTTGTAGAACAACATTATTTCGATCATCGTATACTACGTGATATGCATCACTCCGTTCCTGGTATACTCTAATCGGTAAGGTCTAAATCAAAATTAGTAATGGCAACTGTTTTTCAGATGATCGCAAAGTTTCTATAATCGCCAGGGAAACCTGGTTTTGAACAGGGCTAAATAAGTTCTTTAATTAGTTCAAGGTTTAACTTCTTATGAACTGGTCCGGTAGTTTAATGTCCCTAATGCTAATCAATATAGAGAAGGACTATGGCATACAATAAATGATTCAGAAAAATAAAATACAAACAAATGCAATAAAAATATTATAAATAACAACAGGTATTTCAGAAATTGATAATACCAAAATAGAAATTAGATCTTCGGAAGCCAGAAGCTTATTCTATAAATAAAATGCAATTAAGATCTACAACGCTTTCTTCTAATCGGAATAAAGAGAATATAATTTTAACGAGTTAGAATCATCTTTTAAGACAATCACAAATGATGCAAAATTGTTCTATCTAATATCAAGAACGCTTTATGGTATTATAACTAATATATTTACTCCACCATAATATAAAGTTAAATTATCAATACATGATAAGTTTAGATTAAATCATGCAAATATACAGCGCATTATTCCACCAAGAAAAAAAAAAGTTTTTTAATCTCCAACTAATCATAACGATAACATAGCTCCCTATCAAGTGAGGATCCTGTGAGAAAATAAAATCATAAAATCAGGTTATATACATTTAAAGTTAGGATGTAACACACAAATACGGAGGGCATTACAATAGATGTGAAAATGTAACATGCTATCTTTTTGATATGCATTCACACCCATGCTTCGCCTCATTCATTATCCAATCATATGCAAGATTTTGCGTACGAACATCACTTAATTTGCTGTATAACCATACACTACGTGAAATTTTCAATATCACTCCGTTCCTGGTATTACTCAAAAGTATTTAATCTTCAAAATAAATTTATTCTTCAACTCTTCACGCATATGCACTATCTCTTAAAATTTGCAAATTTTGTTTATTTAAAGATGGGATTAATTCATTCTAAATATCTAAGACTCACCAAATTTAAACCTTCAGCTAATTCAATGAATTCAAATAAACGTTTAGCTAATGAAATCAATTCAAATAATTCAAATAATTCTCCACAAATAACAAAAGTTTTTCGTGATGATTTCAAATTTATAGATGGTATAAGATATCACAATGTAGAAAACATTTATTATTATCTTCCAAACGATAATCAGGAATTGATAGACTACAATTACAATATTATATGAGATTTATCTGGCGTTCGAATTTTTCTTCTCCTGTATATGACCATTAAATGAAGGTGGTGTTCAAGTTCTCGATGTTGGGTTTGATTTAGATTTTTATTTTGCACAATAAATATCCATATTGTTACTTATATGCTAAGTATATGCATTTGGCCTTTAAAACTCTTTTATTCACAAAACATTTTTATACTTTTATAAGTGTGGTCGGCTACTGTCATAATCACGCAGTCCGTATCATGCAAATTGTATGATTGTATAAAGGTTTTTACTATGATGTGCTTATAAAGAAGTATTTTTTAATAAGTTTATTAGTAAAGTGATGCAGGCCTTGGCGTGATTATAAAAAGGGTTTACTATGATGTGATTATATAGGAGGTACTATATAGGAGGAAGACAGTACATGGATTTAGAAATGGCATCTGAATTTCCAAAATGTGAATTTACAGGTGCTGATGTCGTACCAGTAATGCATTAACAATTAAGCCTCAGAATGCAAGTTTTATAGAAGCTAATGTGCTTGAGGGACTCCCATTTCCGAATGATCATTTTTATTTTACTTACACAAGATTTCTTAATTGTGCAATTCCTTCTAATAAATGGATAGCTCATGTTATTCCGGGTACTTTAAAAATTTTGGAATTTATTTTTATTATAATTACTCTTGTGTAAAATATTTTATCATGCATATAATGTTTTATTATAAAATAATGCACACCTACATTATTTCGAATTTATGAATAATTCGAGGTTACATTATTCGGCGTATTATCTCAAGCCAATTCGGGATTCGGATTTTATTTGATTATCTATAGTATTAACACGTGCATAGTCATTTAACAATAAAATCAATAATTAAATTTTCATTAGAGTAAATGTCGCCCCTGCGTGCTGCAATAGCATTTCGCCGACAATCACTTCACCGACAGCCGACAATTAATTTATAGACAAGTTCATCTCACCAACAATTATTTCACCGACAACATTTCACCGACAAAGTAATTCTGGTCATTGTTGTTAGTGCCAGGTTGGAATTAGAGTTAAGGTTAGTGTAATTCATAAAAAATACTTGTCGGTGAAATGAGCTGTCAGTAAAATAATGTCGGTGAAATGAACTTGTCTGTGAATTAATTGTCGGTGAACTAAGTTGTCTGTGAAGTGATTGTCGGTGAAATAATACGTATCCTGATATTTTTGAACTCAGACCAATTTTATATATGACGTATTCAAAAATAATTATCCATATGGGAAATGGACAGTTTAAGTTTCTAGAAAAATGCGATTAATGTTTGTGTTGTATAATTTTTATCAATTTATTTTTAAAATTATTACATTATAAAAATTTTTATGTAATAATTAATATTGTAATATGATAATATCGAATATTAGATATTCTCGCAAATTTATTTTATTAAAATTTTTATAATGGGTTTTATATAACACTCAGACACCACGTAATTTATTTAATTGGTCAATCAATTCAAATTTAATTAGTTTTCTAAATTTTGATTTATTTTTAGTACATAAAATATTTAAGAACTGTTTTTTTTTCAAATTGAAATACCTCGATAATTTACTAAATTAATGTATAATTCATATAAGCGAAAACCAGTACTTTAACATGAATTGAAAATCTTAAAATTGACCAAAAAAGTGCCAAAGCCCAGTCTATTCCTATGTATAAACGATATTGCATCATGGCGCATTTGTGAAATACCCCAAAATTTGAAAATATTGACTACCGACAGTGAGCCAATTTAATTGACTTTATTATATATAAATATGAGTTTGAGTTATTGTGAAATATATTCTGATTTAAATTATGATATATTACGCTACGTAATAAAAATAAAAATAAATTAATTGTTAAATAAGGTGCGTCATCAGAAAGAATAAAAAATTGAACAATTGGAAGATGGGTTAGACGTTATGATGAATAGCGTTATGATGAATCTGGGGTGCAAAAAAAATTTTTGGAGTATAATTTTAAATCAATCATGGTGACTGAATACTTAGATCTGGGGACCAAAATTCACAAATACACCGTAATAGTATGCATAGGTAATTTTTAAAATCATAAATAGATAATATTATCTGCAGAAGACTGTGAATGCGATAGTTAAAATTTACTTTAGATGTTTCTGTACATTTGATTTTACAGATTTTTTATATAAAATTTTTATATAATTATGCTAAGAGCATTGCTAATTTCCCCGGAGAATATTCCCTCCCCCTGTATTTCAAAAACGTACTAAGTAGGGCTGTTAATCAATCCGGTCTGGACCAACCATCCAGGGATCGGGCCAGTCCGGTTCATTTTAAGATGGGCCGAAAGGATCGTTGGTCCTATAGTAAATATCAAATAAAACTTGTTTATCTTGATAATACACATTTTAAACCAATTATAAAATGTTTTTAGTTAAAATCTTAAAATAAAGGTTATTGTTTTCAATTCTAAACCCTTAGCTTGTTAAACAAGATTAAACTATAATATGTATATAATAATGAGAAGTGGCTGCTGCTAACATTAATAAATAGAGAAATTTATTAATGACAATATTGGAGTAATCAGTTGATTTATAATTTGCCTATGGACATTATTTTGAAGCATGAGCTTGAAATTAATGATTCATTTAGCCGTTAGTGATAAAAATTATGATTTGTATTCGCTATTAGTTTGCCTCAAACATGTGTCCCGAAATAAAGCCTATATGCAAACACAGTATATTGTTCAAAATCTGTATTAAGTGTAATTTACTCGATCCGCATGTAAGTTCTATAATCAATCAATGATTTATAAGATAATTTTTATTCATACATATATGCAATAAGATAATAAGAAAGTATAAGGTAATAAATATAATAATGCAAATTTAAAAACAATATTAAGCAGTTAAAAATAACAAAATATCTTCTCAATCCAGCATAGATGTTAATCATGGTCGAAACTTAATAAAGAGAATATTTTGCTGCATTTCTATTTCTATTCTATATTATTTTCTAAATCATAATTTATTTATAATTTAAAATATCAAACATTAATAAATAATTATTATCATAGAAACAAACATTATAAATTTTAAAAGCTTTTTTACTATAAATGCATTGAGATTCTTATAACATTATAGCAAAAAATATTATATTAATTATTGGTCTATCCAATCTAGTCCTATTTGGTCCTGGACTGCAGTCCAGTCCGATTCTTTAAAAGACTGGCGGTCTTTAAACTAGGATGGACCAGACGGACCGATTAACAGCCCTAGTACTAAGTAAACAGGATTGGGTACTCTAAGTAAAAATGTTCAGGACTCTTGAAAACTTCATAAAAACTGAATTTAGAACTTTATATTAGCTCTATATTATATTATATAAAAAGTAATTCTCTAATTCCTAACCCTAACCTTAAAAATAATTAGGGAGAGAAATTTTTCCTGGGTTAAAATTAGTTATTTTTTATGCTAAATAAACAAATACCTAATAGCATTGTATATTGACCTCTTTTTGGCTCTGGTGCTATATATATAGTAAACTTAATAAACTTTAAAGTTTTTTTATGCCACTATATTATACCTGGGTCACAAATACTTATATATAGATAGCATTATTTGTAGATGCCCCATAAACTTATATTATTTGTGACTTTATCAAGGTGAATTTAATATGTTTTTATTACTTTGATTTAAAAAAAATGTGATAGTGACTATAAAGCAATTGTGATATATAATAAGTAAACCAATATGAATTTAATTGGTAAATAAAAAAAATGATTATATCAAGTTTGTGACTATATCAAGGATTTCTCCAGAGTAACTATCAAAAAATCACAGAACCAAAAAATCTTTAAGTTCATTTAGGTTAGGATTAGAGTTAGAGCTAAGGTTAGAATTGTAAAATTGCTCAAAAAAACTTTTTGTTAGAGCACCAAAGGTAGTTTTTTTATACTACTTTTTGAGAAATAAATAATTTTTAACAAAACAAACATTTGTTTTGAATTTTCCTGATCATGCTACATTTTACCTAATCTTGAGATCAGATTGGATTGTGGCACAAAAAAAATCACGTGCTCGTGAGTTTTGATGGTTACGCTGGGGTAGTTTTATATCAAGAGTAACTATATTGATGTGCGGCTGTATTAATCCAAAAATTGTTGAAGATATATTTTACTTAAAAAATATAAGATTATGAAAATTTTTATAATATTAAAATAAATCTTTAATTAGAATATATTTCAATGTGATTTCTTTTTATTTATTTATTATTATAAAAATATTTTAAATCTTTAAATTTTATCATATATTATTAAAAGTTTTAAAATATTAAAAAATAAAATAAAAATAAAAATAAAAAATATATTGTACAGTTAACTCTCTCTAAGTGCAACAACATGCATTTAGGCAGGCAAAATTTTTATTGGCAAAGTCAGGATAGTAACATTTAAATGGTATTAAAATCTAAATTTTGGGGTTTATTATGAAAATGAATAAAAATTTTCAATTGTCAGTTTCTTTTTTTAGAGTTAACTTTGCATAGAAATATATGCAAAATATTAAGTTATGCATATTGTAAAACAGGTTTTCCAAGAGGTAAATATAATTTGTAAAAAGTTACACATCAAATATTAAAAGATAATACTTCTGAAAATTATATAATCATTTTAAAATATGCAGAGAGTGGTTCTTTATATAATAATCTTAAAGACTTAACACATATAGAATGGGAAACTAAAATAAATTTGTTGCTTTGCACTATCTAAAACTTATTAGTAAATATTAATAAAAGTCAATTCAGATTTTTATTTTAAAAATTTGATTCATTTTTAAACTAAAATAAAGTTAATCCTGATACCAAAATCTGAATAAATTTTTATCTCGGGATTTCATTCCTTTTTAAAATAAGAATCAATTTTAATCTTTAATATTAAGATTCAAAAAACTTAGATAAGAATTGATTACAAACCCTAATCAAACAATGAACTTACACCAATATCTATTTTTCAAAGCTAAGTGTATAAATAAGTACCTAAAATTTTCAGAATACACATAGAACATATCATTAATTTTAGATAATAACATTTTGTTATTTAAAATTCTTGCATATTATTCAAAATTATAAATGTTAATGCATAAGTATATATAAAATATATGCTAGGCTTATATCTGATTAGCAAAATTATCTTTTTAATAATTCTTTTCTTTATCAGTTCTAATAATAATAATTAATAAAGATTAGAAATTGATCTTATTCAGATATTATCTGTTAATTATAAAATAGAATAATTGAGATAAATAAAATCAAATCTTTTTTTAAAAATATTTTTGCATATTGCTTAGCTCTAGTAAAAAAAATATATTTGAGCAATATAAATTTATTTTTTTAATAAAAAATTACTTTGTATAATAAAGACAAAATATCTTCTAGTAAACACAAAAATAAAACTATACTTACTAATAAACAGAGACAAGATATTATCATATATAAAAGTAAATATCCTAATATTAGCAATATCAAACTCATAGACTGGATAAAGAAATAATTTAAACTTGATATTTATTTAAGTACTAATAAAAATAAAGAAGAATTCAGAAGTAACCCTGCTGCAAAAAGACAAAAAACAGTTCAATATCTGGAGCTTGAAAATAAATTACTTAAGTAGATTCTGCAAAATCAAGAAAGAGTAATTTTAAGTAATGTGATTCTGCTAGAAAAAGCAAAACTTTTGCTCAAATATTAGAAATAACTGATTTTAAGGTTTCATAAGACTGGCTATAGCAGTTCAAAAAAAATATATAGATTAGGACAGATAATAAAGCATAGAGAAGATGCCTCTGTAGATGATCCTGTTGTTGCTGCTACCATTTCTAAATTGAAAGAATTATTAGAAAAATATGATCTAAAGAATATTTATAATATAAATAAAACTGAGTTGTTTTATTAATATAACAAATCATATTGTATTAAATAATACTTGTTTTCTTTAGCTTTTCTTTTTTTTTAGTCTTGAACTTGATACTACTTTAGCTACTAAATGTTTTAAAGAAAAAAAAATTTAGAGTAGTTAACCTTATTACTTTGTGCTGATACTAATAGTACAGATAAAAAAAAAATTTATTTTTAAGTTCTTCAACCCACTTTGTATAATGGACTTGGTGTTAAATATAATACAATTTATAAAGCATAAATAACAATTATTTGGTTTCAAAAGTGGCTTAATAAATTTAACTTAAAGATGGCTGGCTATAAGATAATTATTTTATTAGATAGTGCAAAAGTTCATTCTAGTATAATTTAAAATTTTGTAATACAAAAGCTTATATTCTATCTCTGTGTACAATATTCTATATCCAGCCTATGAATGCTGTTATTATTATATCCTTGAAGTGTCATTATCAAAGTTACTTTATAAAATTAATATATTGATTACTTAGGAGAAAAGAATACATATAAAGTATTAAGCAATAACGAAATTTTAAATCTGATTTTCAATCTCAAATCTGAGAATAAAAGTGCTAAAGATAATGACAGTAAGAAATACATTAAATTAGTTATAAATAAGTATTAAATGCAGTAGAAATACTTAACCAATATATTATAAAGAATAATTTTAGTGAATACTCCAAACTAAACATAATGAAGCTTTGCCAAAATTGCAAAAAAAAATAAAAAAGCTTCAAATTGTATCTTTCAAGCAAACAAGTATTGAAACTTATTTTAAGTTAGTTGATTAGATTATAGCTTTTTATACTTATCTTTTGAGATCTTTATAATAATGCTAGTCTTAGTGTTTATTTTTTTATAATTGAACTTGTTAATTAGGAAAAAGATATTAGCAAAGTCTTAAATATTAAATTAATTATAAACATAAAGTCTCTTGTTTATTTTTTTGTAGGTTGTTGTGATATTTTTAAGTAAGGTGCCTAGTTAGAGGCATGCTATTTATTATATGATATTTTTTACTTAGTAGCCACCTTTATTTATATATAGTGTGATTACTTTATCTAATTTTGATTAGTTAATATAGATATGATTACTACCTCTGATTATGTATCTATAGTAAAAATTATATAATAAATAGCATACTCTTTATATATAACAAAATTAAAAAAAATTTATATGTTACTTAGTATTAGTATAGTAATTATAAGTGAAAAAAAACTTTATCAAATGTAATAAAGATATAGCCAGACCTCCTAAATGCCTTCTTCCTAAATATAGCACCTCTCTAAATATATGCTATAAGTCCAAGCTTATGGTAGAGCTTATAGATAAATGTATGCTCTTTATTTTGTAAGTTTATATTAATTGTTTGGCCTACTTATAAAACTCCTTTATAAATACATCTACTTCACATGACTATTAGCAAATAAAGCCATATTTATCATATAATAACAGCATATTGTAATTTTATTAGTGTTCTCTAATTGTAACTCTCTCTAAATACATACTCTTGAACTGGTCTCAGCAATATGTATTTAGGAAGATTTGACTATATTATGTTAAATTATTTATGTAATTTTGAATATGTATTACTCCAATATATTTGGCTACTTCCCAATTGCAAACCCTTTAAATACACGCCTTAGAGCCTGTTTTGATGACTTGTATTTAGAGAGGGTTGACTGTACAATAAAAGTTTTTTAATTTTTTAAGAAATTTTCATTAAATTTATAAAAATTAGAGAAAGGTCTCACTATTAATATAAAAAAAAGTATATAAATAGTATAAAAGATTTTAAAAAGCTTTTAAATTGGTGTAAAGATACTAAGAAAGTAAAATATAAAATTAAGTAATTTAATTTTAAGTTGACAGTAACCTTCTTTTGCCAATCTGTTACTTTTTACTGAAAACTGCACTTATTATTATATACTATTTGCCAACAGGCTTAAAGTTTATTATTTACTGAAAAAGAGAATATCTGTAACTTCTTGCTTTTAATTATGGAGATTTATAGATTAGTTGTATTTAATAAAAGAATATACTTTATTATTAAACAAACCAAATAGTATTATATCTTCTTTCTGCACTTTGCCACCTTTTTAAAATGCTTACAAAAGTGAGCAAAACAACTTATTTTCTTCAAAAAATTAGCATTGTTTACTTTTTTCAAATTTGGATAGTCTGTGATCATATCTTTAATTTGTTTTGTTTATAAGCTATATATAATATTAATTAATATTAGCAGTTTATAATATATTCAAAGTTAAATAATTTAGTTAGAAAATTAAGTATTAAAATAAAGCTTTACAATAGAAATATACAAATAGTTTATTTTCTATATACTTTTTTTAAGTTTAGCAAGAGTAATAATAATACCATAACTAGATTTATATTAAATAAAATTTTCTGCTTTCTTTTTTTGATTTATTTTTTTTATTTTATATTTTTTTTCTCTTTTATTAGTCATATTTGAATTATTTTTATTTCTTTATTTTTTTTTATTTTCTTTATCTTTTTGAAAAAGAAAAAATATTAGAAAAAAACAATTTTGACAAAGCTAGCAATAAGCTTTTAGTAATTTAATGAGTAATTATCTAGCAAGCTAAATACTAAAAATAAGAGTATTATTGTTATAAAAGATTATACTATTATACTTGGGCATTATTGTCTATTAAGTAAGTTTTATTAAAAAGTAAAATATTAAAAGCATTAGTTGTTGTAGACTTTTTGTTTAGACACTTTGTATTATAGCATTTTTTACTTCTAGACAATAAAAACAGAATTGCCAAAATTAAAATATAATATAATATAAATAAGGTTTCAGTTTTCTTGTTTAATTTGGGTTAGTTATTTAGTTAAAAACTTTTGAAAGTATGTATTGCTAAGATATTATTTATATAAATATAAAAATATATATTATTTAAAAGTATTAAAAGTGTATAAATAATTAGTTTAGTTTCTAAGTAATTAGTATTTTATTATAATATAAAAATTAATTTGTATATTATTTTTACTAAAATCTGCTAATTTCAGCTTAGATATTTAAAAATTTGCTAACTTGTATTGAAATACTTGAATAGAAATGTAAATTGTTTTTAAATATAGTTAAAAATAAATTTTGTAAGTTAAAAAGTTTAAATTGATATAGTAGAGTTAGAATTTTGTTTCCTATAAATAATATATATATATTTGACCAAGTGTCTAGAAACTAGAGTTTATTAGTGTTTTAACTGTTGGCAGTTATATAGACTTTATTACAAGTTGTGTTTATAGTAAGAATATAGCTAGCTACTATGCTTTTGGCACTACATATACTAGGTGTCTGTATCTGCAACCCAAACTAAGATTACATATTTAAACTCTCTAGCAATTTCACTTGCTAGTAATTTTAGTTACTCTAGTACTTTTATATCCAGGCCTGCTTACTAACTTTATTTATATTAGTAATCCTTCAGTTATATCTTTGGTCTTACCTAGATAGACATTAGCTATATGTGCCAGCTCAATCTTTTTTATATCCCACACATTTCCAAATCAGGTATCAGAGATATTACACCTTTAAACCTAAGTTAGTACTTGGATATTACCCCTATATATTCTTACTTTTAATGAGTTTACAACTAACCCTAATATTAACTTATCTTTTAACACATGAGTTTGGCTTCAGAGACATTCCAACTACCAATCTAGTTAGCTTAGAAGAGTTAATTTGTCTAGGCTTTAAATGCTATATAATACTCTTCTTTTGGTACATGCTTTCAGAGCATATATCTTTTTTCTCTAGTGTAACTCCAGTAGACAAATTGGTGTAACTCTGAACCTATAAAATTATGATTATCAGGGCTTCAGTTGAGTTCTCAATATAGTCTTCTATTCTGTAGTACTGTCAAAGATTAGCTACTACTTCCAATTTAGATTTTTCTAAGTAGATTTTTTGCATTTAGAATAATCTCTAAGATTTATTATCAATCTTGAACTTATCAAGTATTTGTAACAATCTAAGCTAAGATACATTTCTAAAGTTTCTTTAGATAATATGAATGCTAGTGGATTTACACTCTGGTATGACTCAAGCTATGGATGGATCTCTATGATTTAATAATCAGTATTCTAGTTACTATAATACAGCTATTTTTCTAAAATACTATTTATGGGATTTGATTTTTAGACCTGCTGCTTGGCAGGGTAATGTCTTAGACCATTTTACTAAGTTGCTATATACTATATATAAATTGTTAATTGAAATAAAAAGTTAATTAAATAAAATTAAAATAAAATATATTAAATAATTAGAATACTAACAATTATTAAGTAATATTTTAGGAAGTGTAGTTAAGTAATACTATATCAATATCTTATATTGCATAAAAAATAGTATAATCAGATTTTTTTAAATTGGCCAATTATATTAGTTCTTATGTAGAGAGAAGAAGAAGAGCTTTCATAATATATAATAAATTACAGGTTGACCCAATGAATAAGTATATATCAAGAGACAAATCTTCTAATATATATGTATTATTCTACTATAGATTCACCAAATAACTATTTCTTAAATTGGAATACAGGCAAATTTGTCTGCGAAGATTTTTACTAATTTTTTTAATTTTTAAATTTTTTAATAAAATTTTGAATACTAATTTTAATTATATATTTACTAAATAAAAAATATATTTTAAAATCTATTTATTAACTTTATTAAGAAATTTTTTAAAAATATAAAAAACTTTTAAATAATAAAAGTTTAAAATTTTTTTTTCAAAATTTTTATTATAAAATTTTTTCTTTAAATTTTTTAAATTTTATATGTTTTTGTCTATAAAAAAAAAACCTTTACTTCTAATACAAGTCTTAATTTTTACAAGTTAATCACTAAGTCAAATAGTAAAGTTGTAATTCTTAATCTAAACTTTAATATTGTATTAAGAATTATATTTTTAAAATCAATATTTAAAGAGTTTGT